ATATTCCATAACAAATGCTGGCACCATGAACATGCGGACTGATCCGAGAGGGAGGAGGACGGTAGTGACGTGGCATTTTCAAAACACATCTTTCATCCTTCCGCGCTGAGAAGCAAAACTTCCAGCTTACTTAGTTTTTCTAAGTTAAGACAACTCAAATAAATTGAGTTTATCAGCGTTTTTGCATAAATTGCACTGGTAACTTATTAAAATCTAGTTCTAATAACAAATTGATAAAAACTGAGTTCAGCATATTTAATATTTTTAATTAAACACAATATTACATTTTACAGTGTAAAACTTATCAAGGAACCATCCTATGCTTTATGTTCCATCCATTTACTTGGCTGATTATGTAATGTAGACTTGTGTGTGTGTTTATTTTACAATGCACCAACTAAATCTACAGCAAGTGACACTGCAGACATTGACCTACTCCTGAATCTACCTCTGAATAACAGACAAGCGCTTCTGACTTGGTACAGAGGTTGTCAGTGGAGCAAAATGCAAATAGTACAGTGGATATTGCATAATTTGGACATGTATGGACTATTTTCTGTGGCACAAAATTGAAGTCTACTGAAGAACATGAAAAATTGCTTTAGGCATTCTTTGGTTAAAATGGCATCAATATGAATGCAGTTCCAACAGTAATGCACAAAGGTGAAAAGGTCAGAGAAATGCATGAGGCTATAGGAGAGAATAGTTGGCACCATGAATGTCTGTGGGTATACCACAATGCTGTTTAACAAGAAGATAGCCAGCTGACCAAGGCTTGTCAGTAGAGGAATATCTCAAAGCAAAAGTAAAAATGGATTTCTAAAGAAGAAAACAATCACCATAACATGGTCAAGTATGTTGCTTGAAGTATGTTACAAAGAGAAGGGTAGAGCAATGCAGCTCTTCCATCAAAGAGTGACTAAAAAAAGATGCTCTTGGAGGAATGGCAGAACATCTATGCAGAAATTGTGAAATGGTATCCTTCATGCTGACAAAAACTGATTTAATAATCCGAAATAGATGTTTGTTTTTTAAAAAAGAAAAAAAGAAATAATCTGAAAATTCAACTTATTGTTCCAGTTGGGCAAAATGGATGTACAATACTGTGCAAAAGTTTTGTACCAGCCCTTATTCCTTTATATTTAGTTTATTAAAAGGGATAATAGAGGATTTATTTAAATATGGGCCAACGTAAATGGAAATTCAGTATATTATGCAAAAACAGAGTTTGTACAATTATAGCAAAATGGAAACTTGGTATCATCACCTTTATGCTTCAACACAACCTGAACTCTTTCAGTAATGTTGAGGTCTGGACTCTGGCCCATTGTGTTTTTCTATCCAGATATGCTTTAAGAATGGTTTGCACCTTAGGTAACGGAAACTCTAGGTCTTCTTGCCACAATTACTAAATCTTCTAGGAACCTTGGGGTGAGTTTTGACCCACATTTCATTTTGGATGATCATGTTAAAGCTGTGGTTCACTCTCACTTGTATCACTTAGGAAATCTTTCCAAGTTGAATTCCACTGTGCCACCCTCTGGCTTGCAAACTGTTATTAATGCCTTTATTTCATCATGTGTGGTTTATTGTAATTCATTGTTCGCTTGTCTTAACAAATCTTCCTTGGAATGTCTGCAGATTGTTCAGAACACTGCTCCAAGGCTTCTGACTAAGTCATGTTAGAACTCACATATCTTACAGTTATTAATTCAGTTGCACTGGCTCCCCGTTAGTATCAGGATCCACTTTTAAGATTCTGCTAATACTTTTAGAGCCCTCTCTGGACAAGCACCAACACAAACTCATACTTCCCCTGCAGGTCCCTGAGGTCATGAAATCAGAGCCTGCTGAAAACTACACGGGTTTTTGCCCCAGTTGCCCCAAGACTCTGGAATTCTCTCCCACTGAGCCTGAGATCTATGGACTCTTTTTACTTTGATGTTCTAGCTTTTTTCACAAAGCATTTATTTTTCTTGAAAGGTTCTCACTTAAATGGCTCATTGCACACCATGCTGAGATATGTCAGTAATCTTTGACAATTACTTATTTATTCACCTAAAGAGATGCAAACAACTTATGTGATTTGTGGCATGATGCTAGAAACAAAGTGCCTAAAGATACAATTTTAAACAGTTTCTTTGAAAAAAAAAATTAGGTGTTATGTCAGGACACAACACAGGTTCATCCTTTGAGTTAGGTGCCTTCTTAATCCTTAGCCCCCACTTTTTTCACACACTGGCTCATGATCAGTAACAAGTCAACAACCACCTCAGAACAGGAAAACCTCCACTGGGGTTTAAATACCCATATCTCTCCACTTTTTGTTTTTTGAGCTTCAAAAACCTCTTGGATTGCAAAACTGTCTTCACAAAGAACTGCATTAACCTTTTAAGACTATGTTTGAATGATTCATAGTGTTAAGTGGTTCATCAAACACAAACATATTCCTCCAAAAATAGTCAAGTACAAGAATTGGACTGGCAATGAGTGAAAAAGCTGCCAGAACCTGGAGGACTATTGCTTGAGACCACCAAATGACAAGTCTGGCTACTTTGAAGCTAAATATGAATAAACGAGGGATGGCTCAAGACGTTTTACACAGGACTTTATTTACAGTGTTATTTTGAATTACTTAACTTTTTGATAGGATGACATAGATGCATTCGTTTCTGCTATACTGTGTGTACATGTTACATGTCAGCAGTATTTCAACACCTCACAAACGTTACAGTGTTTGTTTAGTTGTTTTAATGACCATGAAAACATGTAACTACGTCTAACCTACACAATAACTCTTCCGAACCGCTTCCAGATAATTCTGCAGGAACAGTACCCATGGCCAACTGCTGTGCTTCTCCCGAATAAAGCTGTGACATTTTTATGCATAGACCTGAATTCAGTGGGAGGAACCCAATTATCCTGTACCTATTTCTCATTCCATGCACATCCAAGTCAGCATTGAACTGCATAACGTAACAGAGGACGCGTGTTGCATAAGGGGAGAGAAAATGGGTAGCTGATTTTATCGATCATCGGCCACCACTGTCCCGTTTTCGTAAGACTTAAAAAAACACAAAAACAAGAAAAAAAAATGCAGTCAGCGGTTACACATGGCTACTTGTGCCAGGAAACTGTTTATAAACTCCAAAAACCAGTTACAACTCCCTTAATCGATGCCTATGTAATATGACAGATCTGGAGCGAACCCAATGGGCGCGTGGGTGGGCGGGATTTATATGGAGAATCGGCCAATCTGAACCAGGAAGCCACAGGTCATCCCAACAGCTGCGAGTAGAAGAGCCTCGCAGCGTTCGGTGTAGCTATTGTGGCTTATTTCAGCCTGTTATAAGTAATACATTAGTCATTTAGACATGATTAGAAATGCTGTTAAATGTTACTGGTAGATGCTCATGCTTTATGTTAAAAATAGGCAACTTGTGGAGCTAAGTCACGCGTTGACGTTAAACGTTCTCTGCGAAACTTTTGCAGAGTTGCAAAAAGGAAAACAAAATTGCCAAAATGGAGAGTCACGAACGGGCAGCGGCTGTGGGCGACGGCGTGCTCGACTTCTCACGCTTGGGTTTGAACACTCTGAGCGTTGACAGTATCACCGACAGGAGGAAAAGAGACACCAAACAACTCTACCTGAACTACAACCGACTGGGCTCGCTGCCGTCGTCGGTCACTCTGTTCTTCAACCTCGAGTTTCTGGACATTAGCAACAACGGACTTTCGTTCATCTGTGAGGACATTACGCGTCTGACCAAGCTGAAAACACTTATAGCCAAGAACAACCGCCTGGACGAGTTTTCGCTGCCCAAGGAGTTCGGCTCTCTGCAGCTGGAGGTGCTGAACTTTAGCGGTAACCGATTCGAGGAGATCCCGCTTCAGTGTACCAAACTGCTGCGCTTGCAGTCGCTTTCACTTGGAGGAAACAGATTGAAAAGTATCCCTGCAGAGATAGAAAACTTAACCAGGTAAGGTAACAGCACAAAACGGCCGAAAAGTCAATATATGAGTGACGTTTCAGTCCAGCGCTGAGGTAATGGATTACGTATAGTGTCCAATCTGCATATCTTTGCTTGAGGCAATCGACTATATTGCATAAACTATAATCTGACCAACTGATAAGTCGCAATAATTGAGGGGGTGGAGAGGAATCAATCTTTTATTTCTCTCCAGTAAAACCCTCTGTATATTACCTGTATTGGTCACTACATAGTTTTTTTACGACTTCCCTTTTGGTTAAATTTAACTATGTAATTAGCTAGTGGTGTCGTTGCTATGGTTATCTGCAGAGTCGGCCCAGCCTTTGGGCCCCCCAGCCCCAAGCTAAACCCACCACCAACGACACACTTCAACACGGCTAATATTAACTATATATTGTCC